CTCAGGGCCTGAAGCATGACAGCATCTCCCTGCCAGGAAAGGAATGACTCCATGGTTAGACATGTGTTGTGTGCGTATCCTCTGCTACATGCAGGGTGGGGCCCCCAAATGAAAGAAAGACCCAGCCTGGTATGCCCACAGCAGTGCAGGGTATCGGAAAGACTGGAGGACTCCAGTTCTTCTCCTGGTGGGAGGACCCTAGTTCTCCTCCAAGCTCTGCAGTGTGACTTAAACAGGCTTGATTTGAGGCAGGACTTCCTGACCTGCATTTTTTTGGTCTGTCTTTCTCTTTGCTGGCCTCCTTCCTCAGACCATAGCACTTCTAGAGCAGAAAACCCAATCTGGTGCACAGTGGGTCTTCAGAAGCAGCTTGGTGGTTAAATGGATGTGGATTGATACTTGGGGCAGTATGCAACCTCTGTCCCGCAGGTTAAGACTTCCTCTAGGCCAGAAGCGGTGGCTCAAGCCTGTAATCCCAGCACTTTGGGAGGCCGAGACGGGCGGATCACGAGGTCAGGAGATCGAGACCATCCTGGCTAATGCGGTGAAACCCCATCTCTACTAAAAAATACAAAAAACTAGCTGGGCGAGGTGGCGGCGCGCCTGTATCCCAGCTACTCGGGAGGCTGAGGCAGGAGAATGGCGTGAACCCAGGAGGCGGAGCTTGCGGTGAGCTGAGATCCGGCACTGCACTCAGCCCTGGGTGACAGAGTGAGACTCCATCTCAAAAAACACAAAAAAAAAAAAAAAAAAACAAACCAACTTCCTCTAAGGCCAGGTGTGGTGGTTCGTGCCTGTAATTCCAGCACTTTAGGAGGCTGAGGCTGGAGGATCGCTTGAGCCCAGGAGTTCAAGACCAACCTGGGCAACAAAATAAGACCCTAACTCTACCAAAAAAAAAAAAGACTTCATCTAGAGTGGTTCATTCATAAACATTTCGTGAGCATCTACTCTGTGCCCACCATTAAAGTTATTGCAACCAACAGCTTCTCCTAAGGCAGATGTGCCACAGAGACCAATGGGTCCATGGCTCAGCTCCTTGAGCAGGGAGCAAACTATCTAGTTCCCAAAAGTCCCCACCAGGCCAGGAATTCCCATCCTGAGGCATCTACAGAGGCCTGGCAGCCCCTGTCCACCTGGTTCCCAGGCCTACTGGCTTCTGCTCCATAGAGATGGGCCCCTTAGGGCTGTTTGTTGAGTGCCCTGTCCCCTTTGTGGGGTGTCTAATGGCTTGGTGTCTTCCAGATTCAACGTCCATCAGAACAGTTCATGCCCAGTCACTGGCTCTGTGCCAGGAACCTGCCTGGCAGGAAGACTGGGTGTGGGGAGACAGCAGAGGCAGGATACAAGCCCCTTCCTTGGAATTCTCCCCAGTGTCCATGCCTCCTCTTCCCAGCTGCCCATGAGCTCCTGGAAGGCCTTGAGCCTCATTTCCCTCCCCACCTAGCAAAATGCAATTAGCCCTCAATATTCACATACAGAATTGGATTTCTTGTTGAATAACAGTCTCATGCCTCCAAGCTCAAAGGGCCCACACAGATCATCATGTTTGATGCACCTATTTTACAGATGGGCAGAGTGAGGCTCTGAGAGGGGATGCCCTCAATCATTTTGGGCTCTCACGGCATTCTCACGGTCTTTTGGGCTGCCCTGGGTGAAGCAGGCAGTGTTCCCTGGCACTAAGCCTTGCCTATTCAGATTTGTGAGTGAAATTTGGAAAGGCCTTGGTGCTTAGCCACTGACCTGCTGCCTGCCTGACCTTTCAGGAAATGCAGCCTATTGCCTGGAAATGGCTTTGTGGACAGTGAGTTGTGTTGGCATCACCCACACAATACGGTGGGGAGAACTGGTTAGTTTCCCTAGTTTCTCACTGAGCCCCACCTCATCAATCCTCCTCCAAAACCTGCCTGAAATCCACCTCTATCCTCCTGCCCTTTTTGTAATTATTTCACTGGAGATGTCCTTCTCCTCCATGGCTGCACATTTATCCAACATGCCCTTTAGGATCCAAATGCCACCACCTCCTCCTGGGAGCCTTCCTGTGTTTCTTTCCATCCCTTAGTCAGCTTCACAATTCAATTGATCTACATCTCTTTGACAGCATTTATCACATTCTCCTTAAATTATCTTATCTTTATGCAGTTGCAGGGGGTTCTCCACAACATAGTGATATCTGATGTCTCCCATCCAGACTCTCTTCCCTACCCCAAGTTGCTGTGCATGTCTCCTGCCCACATTACAAATGCATGCATGACTGGAAGGCAGGACCATGTGGACATTTTTGTCCCTGCCCTCACAGTGGCAGACCCTTTTCCCCCAGAGTCTTGTACAGGGGTTTGCATACTGTAGGAGTTAAAACATATAACTTACTTAAATTACCAGTGGTTTGAGCATCTATCGTATCCCAGGCTCCATGTGTCAGGCTGGGTGCGGGGACACAGAAATGGATCTGACAATGACAGCGCCATGTGATGTGTGCTGCAATCCGAGTGTAGGGCAGAGCAGCTCATCAGAGTCAGATGAGCTCTGGGCTGCACCTAGAAGAACAACGAGGTTGTGAACAGGCAGAAAAGGGGCAGAGGGAGAACCTGGGAGGAAACAGTATGGAGAAAGCATCGAAGTAGCCAAGCTTACCTGAGCCTGGGTGCAGGAATCAGAGAGACTGGAGCTCAGGAGGCCGGATCTGAAGCTGGGGAGGCTGGTGAGGATCTGCACAGAGCCCTTAAGGACTAAGATTTGGATCCTCGTGACAAGATGCAGAAGTTTGGAGTTAGGTTACCTGGGTTCAAATCCCACCTCCACCACCTACCAGTTTATGTCAGCTTTCCCATCTGTAAATGGAGAGAAAAAAGCAGGCCTCCCTTAAACCCCAGCACTGTGTGGGTCAGGGTCTGGACTAGGGCATGGCACATGCAGAGACGCAGCATACCAGGAGATGCCAAGAAAACTCAGCAGTAGAGGTAAATTGCCCAAAGCAGCGCCCCTGAACCCCTAAGTATCAAGATAATATTTTAATGCAATACTTTTAAAAGCATCAAAATTAATTCAAAACCCCACAATGAACAAAATATCTAAAATGTAAATAAAGACAGGGTCTGCATGATGCCAAGTATGCAACTAAAAAAACATCAGTTATGATTGGAGAGGGCTTTCTCAACCTTAGGGGGCCGTGGACTTCTGAAAACCGGAGGAAAGTCCATGGCCCCTCTCCCCTGAAGAATGCACAAACATGCTCAATTTGTGCATAGTTTGGGGGTATTCCCGCACTCCCTGGGGTTCGTGCGCATGGAGGTTAAGAACTCTGGTTCAACACTGGGGGTGTGGGGGTGGCGGGGGTGGCTCCACACGCCGGCCAGGAGCCTGCCAGTTCCCCAGTCCCACAACGGGCCTCCCTCCTGGCAGCCATGGGTGCTCTGCCCTCTGCAGGAAGCAGCGCACAGTTATGCAGCTCCCCCCACCCCCCTACCTTCCCTCTCTCGGCTTGGGACTTTTCCTAAAGTTTGTTGAAACCAGACACCTTGCTCGACGGAGCCCGCTTGCAGCCAGGGTTTAAAAGGCCGCCTTCAGCGCCCCCTCCCCGCCCCCAGCGGAGACTTCAAAAGGCCCGTCGGGCGCCGCGGCCCCAGCACCTATGAGCCGCCCCCAGCTCTCGGAGCCCGCGCTGGAGCCCGTGGACGCAGAGCGGCCGAAGTTCGAGCGCAGGCGGACCGGGCCGGCGGCGCAGTCCCGCGCGCCCATGCCCCTCCCGGTGCCGCTGCGCTCCGCGCGCCCGCGCCCCGTTTAGGGAAGGGGACCTCGCCCCCCCGCCCCCGCGCCCACGGCTGCGGGGACCCATGAATACAAATGCCGTTAGGCGCCGGAGGAAGGACCGACCGGCCAGGCTCGCACTTAGGAACCCAGTAAGTGCTTGGGGGCTCCTGGAGCGCTGGGAAGTGTTCTGTGCCTGTGTGTGTGCGCGCGTAAAGGTGTGCGCGTATGGGGAGGTGGGTACACGCGTGAGGAGTAAATGCGTGTGTGCACGTGTGCGGTGGGCACTCTCGGAGATCTGTGTGCAAGTGAGGGTATGCGCGCGTGTGTGCACCTGGGGTGTGTACACGTGCGGGGACGATATATGGCCAGGATAGTGTGCGTTTGTGCCTGTGTAAGCATCCATGTGCATGCGATTTCGAGTGTAGAGTATCAGCGTGCGCCTGAACCCAGATACCTGAGGATGCATTTCGTGTGAACCTAGGAAGGGTGCGTGGCTGTCCCTGCATGTGACCGGGTGTGAGCGTGTGTCTGAGTTTGGGGAAAGCGTGGATACGTGTGGAAGTGTGTGTGTGCACCGGCGTATAAGTGTAACTTTGCTCGTGAACGAGTGGCAAGAGGTGGTAGAGGCGGGGGGAGCTGTGGTCCCAGGGCTGGACCTGGGTTGTGGGTGTGAGAATTTGCTCGGGGGCCAAGGTGTGCAGCTCTTAGCTCCAGTATGGGATCCGAGGGAGTTTTTGTCGATTCTGTGGAGGTGCGTGAGGAGGCGGGGGTGCGGTTAGATTCCAATTTCTGACAGAAGGGAGAGAGAGGGTGGCAAACCTTTAACAAGCCCACTCTGTGTGTTCTCCAGGGCGCTCCGAGTCTGGAAGCGCAAACTTTTGGTGGGCGGTGGAGGTCAGGATACTGGTTGTCATGGGAGTCTGGACACCAAGTCCTGGTCCTAGCTCTGTCCCTGAAACTGTGGGTTTCTTCCAGGAGTAGAATTTGGCCCTTCTCCCTCTACCCCAACCCCCCACTGGAGGACCCCCAGCCTCACCAGTCAGAAGTTCCTAATCTCAGAACGGTGATCAAATCACCGTGAAGCCTTGGGCAGCCCCTGCCTCTCTGTGAATCTGTTTCCCCATCTATACAAGGGGGAGGGGGGCGGGTGTCCCAGCGGGGCTGTAGTGGGCCAGCTAAGGCTGTATCCTTAGCTGCTGCCGGCAGGGGGCAGCAGGGGGCAGCAGAGGGCGGCCCGGCGCGGGGAGGAGGGAAGGTGGAGAGACACCGCGGGCCGAGACTTTAAATCGCCTTCATTTCCCCCAAATCCTTCCTTTTCCTCTCCTCCCCCAGGCCGGCGGGGAGGCAGCTTCCACCGCCCTCCGCGCGCCCTCACCCGGCCTTGCTCTGCCTCCGGGGACCGCCAGCAGCCCGCCTCCAAAAGTTTGATCATCTCTCTCTCTCTTTTTCTTGCTTCTTCTTCCTTTTTGGTGGAAGCAGAAAAGGAGCGAGGCAGGGGCGAGCGCGGCGCCCGGACTCCTGGGACCATGGGCCTGGCGCGGGCGCCCGCGGGGCCCCAGCCGCGCTGCCTGCCTGCTCGGGCGCCCCTGGGCGCGGGGCTGCTCTGGGGGCGCGGGGGCCGCGCGCTCTGAGCCGGCCTGGCGCGGCGGGGCGGGGGGCTGGCGGCCCCATGGGGCGCGCCCACACTTGCCCCCCGGGCTCGGGAGCATGAAGTAGGGGCCTGCCATGGGAGCGGGATCGGCGCGGGGGGCCCGAGGCACAGCGACGGCGGCGGCGGCGCACGGGGGGTGAGTACGAGCTCGGGGACGCCCCCTCCCCAGCTTCCTGCTGCTCCAATCTCGGGGAGGGCCGGTGTTCCCCGCCACGCGGTCGCTTTCAGCGGAACGTCAGCTTCCTGTCCCTTCCTGCGCCCCCGCGAGGCGGGACGCCAAGGGTTAATAGGGGCTGCGCCCCCGGCCGGGCGAGAGTTGGCGAGCGCTGCCCGCCCTGCCGCGCCTGGCCCGGCTGCCCGATCCCGTTGGGGCGGGGGCAGAGCCAGCCCGGGGGTCGGGGGTGGGGGTGGGTGGTGGCGCCTGGAGCGGCCGGCGGGGTGCGGAGGGGGGCTTTTTGGATGCCTGGGGGAGGAGGGGGGGTCTCCGTTTGGGGCCGTGTCGGTGTGTTCCGGTGTCTCGATGTCTGCAGGTCCCAAGCCTGTACGTCTCCGTTTCTATCTGTTCTTGTGAAATTGTCCGCAAGTTTCTAGGTCACCAGGTCTCGGGTTCTGCTCCTGTCTCCGTGTCTGTGTGCCTCTGCACGTCCCCGCGTTTCTGGAAATCTCCGCGTGTATGTGTGAGTCGGCCTGAGGCTGTGTGTCTGTTTCCTGCTTCTCGGTTCCTGTCCCTTTCACGTGTGTAAGAGAGAAAAAGTGAGAGCCAGCATGTCAGAGCAGAAAGGGCCCTGGACGATCACTGTGCGGAACCTCTCAGTGTACAGATAGGGAGACAGGGCCGGAGAGGGGCAGGGACTCTCCCAGGAGCGGCTGCGCGGAGCTGGGGCCCAGAGACTGGGATTCCCAGCGTGTGGAGTAGGATTTGTAAGAGAGAGTGAGCCTGTGCTAGAGCCGGCGCAGCGTGTGGGTGTGTGTGGGAGCCAGCAGCATGCAAGCAGTCCCTCGGGGCCTGTGGACGGCGCTCCTCTCTTTCCATCCTGCCCCCAGGACACCAGGACACTCCCCAGAGGCTGTCAGGGCTGTAGCTGGGCCCTGCCCCCTCTGAGCTGGAATCCGCAGGATGACACCCCCTCCTTTCTTCCCCATGTCTTGGAAAAAGCTGGCTGGTTGTGATTCCCCAGCCCCGCACCCCCTCACCACAACACACACACACACACACACACATACACGGCACCAGTGAGCACGCTGCTGACTCATTTTCTCCAGAAGACCCTGCGCCAGGGTAGATGCCAGCAGTTGGGCAGAAAAGTGGTGCCAGGCGAGCACCCCATGGTGGAGCTCCAGCTTTGGGCAAGTGGGCCGCCACACTGCTCAGAGGCCCAGTCTCTGCCTTCTCCTGCCTCCCTGCCTCCTTTGCCATCATGTCATCCTCCATCATGTGCGCTCTGGCTCCAGCATGCCTCTGCTCTTCATCATGCCTCTGCTTTCCAGCATGCCTCTGCCCCTGGACCCTTCTGGCCGGACCAAACTCCATGTCGTGTCTATGGACATATCCCTGGCCTCTGCTTCTTTCTGTTTCCTCCCGGTACTCAGAAAATTCTCCCTCTCCTGTGCCTCCACCAGCCCTGCGGACCCCCAGCAGCCAGCAGCCTCCTGGTGGTCTCTGTCCCTTTCTGAGCACACTGCCCCTGTTCTTTGTTGGCATTTTCTCTCCTCCATCTCTGTCCAGGGACCCTCTTGACACCCACCTGTCTGGCTTGGCTATGCAGAGTACCATATCCACTGGTGGTAGGGGACAGCAGTGAGACACGGAATTATGTTCGTGGGAGGCAGGTGGCACCACAGGAGGGCCACGAGGCTTGCCATCAGGCAGGCTCGAGTTTGAATCCTAACTCTGCTACGCGAGCTTGGGTGAGCCACTCTGCTGCTTGTTCTTCTCCTCCACAAAACTGGCACCTTGTTCCCAGCTGGCTGAGTTTTGTGAAGATGAACAGGACCAGGCTTGTAAAGGGCTTAGAACAGGGCCTGGCATGTAATAAGTGTTCAATAAACAGCAGCTGGTATTTGTATTATTCCCTTCATGTTGAATGGGTGTGTGAGTCAATGGGAAAGTTCTGGGCTGCATCCTGTCCAGACGATGACCTGTCTCTGTTCCCATGGAGGACGTGGAAGCTGTGAAGAAAGCCCAGGCATAGCCGTTTGGGCACAGGGGGTCTGGCCAGTCCATGGAGGCAGGTGGGACAGGTCCATCCGACTTGCTGCGCTGTAGTTCCAGTTAGCTCCCTTTTCAGCTTTTACCCCATGTGTGAACAGCCAAGCCTAGTGTCCATAGGGCCACTTTCCCTGTGCATTTCTGTGGCCTGGGTCTCAGCTCAGCGCCCTCAGTGACAGTTGAAGCTGGTGTGGTTTTCCAAGATCCTGTGGGTTTCCAGGTAATAAGGATGGAAGAAAACTATCCAAGCAGGCTGCCGGTTCTGGCAGTGTAGTTACCCAGGAGTAGTCCCATTTGGTGCACTGGCAGAGGGCCTTTTGCAGGGCATAGGAACACCTGGGTTTCCTGCTTGGAGGGCTGTGTGGCCAGACGATGTTTCCGTGCGATGTTTCCTCGCAGCTCCCATTTCGGCTGCCTCCTGGCCACCCTGGCCTCTGTGCTCTGGTCTTCCCGACATTCTGGAGCCCTGGGTTCGCAAAGCCAAGGCCCACAAAGCAAGTGGTGAAAACAGAAGTCTGGAAGAGCAAAGCCCTGAGGCAGCACAGGCACTAAACATGATTAGCAGTAGCCTAAACAGGATTGGAACGGGAGCAAAAGAATCGGCAGGGCCTCCCTCTGAGAGCCAACTTTCCAGGCCTGGAGCTGACTTAGATGACTCGTTGGCTCCCTGGGTTGCATCTCTGTTCCTGCTGGTGAAGGCTGGGGCTCCGGTCTCTGGCAAGTAGGAAGTCCCTGGAAGTCTTCAATTTCTGCTTCAATTTCTTAACAGAGAGTCCTTTTCATTTGACTTGTCAAGTGAAATGACTTGTCAAATGAAAAGGACTATCTGTTAAGTCATAGACTTGAAGCACTGTGTGACTTTGGGCAAATAACTTTCCCTCTCTGGGCCTCAGTTACCCATCTTTGCAAAGAAGGGAGAGAGAAGACTAGAATGTGACCCCTAGATGATCTTAAATGGCCTTCTCCCACTCCGACATGCTCTATACTTGGCAAGTTTATGAGTCAAGTGCACAGAATCCATTTCCAAGAGGGTCAGCTGCATTTGTCAGGGAGAATGAATGGAGGCTGAATACTTTTGTAATAGGCCTTCAGGGCTAACGTCCTCAAGTTGGAAGCCATGGTGTTAGGAAGCTTAATTGAAAAGAAGATTCTGATTCCATGTCTCCTGTGAGACTTCTTTCTCCTGACTTTCAGGGATTACAAGGATGTATCCTCTAATTCTCTGCAGAGTAGTCACTTTGGTATAGCTGTAGCCAGGGAAATCGACCGAGAAGGACATGTATGGTTTTTGTACCTTCTCTTCCCCACCTTGCCTTTATCAGTTTGGGAAACTTCCTAACTTCCTAGGAAGTTTGGTATGTGACGTAATCCGATGAAGGACTCAAGGAGTGAGGGCAGGTGCCAGACAAGGGCCAGGAAGAGAGGGGACTGGAAGGAGATGGAACAGAAATTAGTGGGGTTACAGGAACACAGGAAGGCAAGGGGCAGTCTCTTCTGAGAAGGCATTCACAGAAAAAATGAGTTCTCAATTTGGGAACTGCTGAATGACAGAAAGTACAGTCAACTTGTTGATTGCAGGATTTCTCAGAGCCTTTGATATACAGGTGTGCTTTCCGGATTGTCAAGACTGGGATGCAGGGGACAGCTCTTCCCTAATGTATCTGGCCAATTTCCTAGAAAGCGTGTCTCTGGTGGGTGTGGGAAATACTACTGAAGAGTTAGGAACCCAGACGCTGCCCAGGATGGAAGTACCTGCCGTCCCTGAGCCTCAGTATTCTCCATTTGTCTAATTAAACAAAGCTGCCTTTTATTTCTCTCCAGGGCTCATGCTATTGCCATTTGCCTCAAGGGAGCAAGTCATGCCAGAAAGGTTGGCCCTGCCTTCTCCCCAGGCAACCCCAGGGCAGCTTGACACTTTGACCTTTAGTCGTTGCCCATGGTGAGCTGGGGGCCTGGCCCCGTGAAAAAGGCATTCTCCCAACAGTGGCAGCAGATTGGAGAGGATGAAGAGGAAGGACCAAGGATTATCTCGGAGCAATTCTGGAAAAAGTCAGAGCAGGGGAATTAAGGCTTTGGGAAGACATTTTTTAAAGTCCAGAGTCCTATAATACCTGGTAATATTAATTCATCTTATTAAAATATACTGGACACTTCCTATGTGCCTGCCAGGGGCTGGAAATGTAAGAGTGAATAAGCCCGGCATGGTGGCACATGCCTGTGATCTCAGCTACTCGGGAGGCTGAGGTGGGAGGAGAGCTTGAGCCCCGGAGTTCAAATCTAGCCTGGGCAACACTGTGAGACTCTGTCTCAAAAACAAAATGAAAAAAAAAAAAAACAAAACAGTGAATAAGACGGGTGTCCTTGCCCTTTAGAGACTTAGTCTAGACAGGGAAATAGGAGAGTAGACAATGACCACACATGTGAGAACCACCGTAGTGAGGCATGTGCAGTGAGCTGCGGGAGGCGACACCCATGCTGGGATCTAATGGATGTGCAGTAACTGACCAGTCAAAGGAGTAGTGTCTACATGATGGGAGTAGCATGTGCAAAGGCCCAGAGCTGGAGAAGGCGATCAGGGGACCATCATTGGCATCTGAGTGCTGTTTCAGCTGGTTTACGTTATGCTGCAAGTAACTGAAGATCCAACTCAAAATAGTTTAAAGGATAAGGGGGGTTATTCCCATATCAAGAGGCCTCAAGGAAGAGCCGTACTAGGGTTGGTGAATTTAGCATCTCAACAGTGTCTTCAGACACCCACTATTTTTCTATTCTGCCATCCTCACGTGCTCTTGGGGCTTGTTACCTCATGTACCCAAAATGACTGCAGCAGCTCTGAGCAGTATGTCCTTACTCAACAGCATACGGAGGCTTGAAGAAAACCTTCTCTGCTTTCTCAGGGTCTCTGACAGGCATCCCTCACCTCTCACTGACCACATTTGGGTCTTACATGCATGCCTAAACCAGTCACTGGCATGGCAAATGAAATTCTCAGGATCAGCTTAGATTTATCCAGATTCACGTAGGATCCTGTAAGTCTATGCCTATGTGAGCAAGCAGGAAGGAGGGATGTCTGTGGGTATGTAATCACCAGTGTCTTCACCATGCCCACAATGACAGAAGCTGTCATCTACGGTGTGCAGGGAGTCTGGGAAGAACCTAGGGTTCCAGTTATCAACCCTGGCAAACGGGTTTCCTAGATTACGTGATTCCACAGAAGTACACCATCCTAGCTTTCCTCTTGGAAATGCATCCTGGGCCTGTCTGTCCCAGCCTTAGCCCTCACCACCCACCTGACACAGCTCTCTTGCTGTGCCCCGGCTGTCTCTGGCCACGTGCTGCCCTCGCCTCTGCCTGCCTGGGGATCAGATACCCCAGGTGGCTTCGGGTGTCACTGGTGGCTGCTCCCACAGGAAGGTGAAATTGTATCATTGCCTTTGCCCATCTTGGCAAGAGCCACAGAGCAGAACTTTAACCCTTCCTGGCCCCGGAGTGTAGGGACAGCGGGGACCGTCTAGGGGAGTATTTTGCATGAGCTTATTGACTCCTCATGCGTGACCTGCGAGATAGGGAACATCAGCCCATGTTGTAGAAGACAAGACAGGCTCAGAGAGGCTGAGCGACTCATGCGGGTTCATACAGCTGAGAAGTGACAGGGCCAGGTTTGCAGCTGGCTTTGTCTAACTCCCCCTCATCCCCTCTGTTTTCTTTCTCCCACTTTCCATTAGGATAAAGCCAAGTCAGGAGCTGCCTTCACCCACACTGGTTCTGGTTAAGGGGTCTCCTCTCTCCTGCCCTGTGTGGGGATTGGTCTTCCAAGCAGACCAGCCTGGTCTTCCCACTGACCTTTCACCCCTGGCTCTGCAGCCCATTGGCTGGGGTCTGGGGAAGGGTCTCAAGATCATGAGGCTGTAGTACAGATGGGGAGACTGAGGCTCGGAGAAAGGGAGGGGCTGGCCCCTGGGTGCCCAGTGAGTCAGCATCAGATTTTGAGCTGGACCCTAGATGTTCCAATGACCAGGGCAGGGCTTCCTGTGCGCTGCTTCCTGCCCACTGACCTTGGCTAATCGATCTGTGAAAAGCAAGGCTGTGTTTGTGCATGTAACCAGGTCTTCACTGAGAGGCTGTGCCTGGAGGCCGGGAAGAGTGGGCTGCTGCTCTGATGGGGTCCTAGAGCCTGCACCTGGCCTCCTGCCTTCTGTGGGCAGGACTGGGGTGAGACTGGGACTGGTGTCCACTCCCAGCTTCCCCAGCCGGATCTGGGCGTGAGCGGGTGGAAGCTGATGCCGCCTCTGCTTGTGTCTCCTGGTCTCTAGGGGGTTTCTCTTCTCCTGGATCTTAGTCTCGTTTGCCTGTCACCTGGCCTCCACCCAAGGAGCTCCTGAAGGTAATTCTGTCTTCTCTTTGTCCAGGGGGAGACAAAGGAGAATGGAAGGGGCCTGAGAACTCAGGGGTAGGAGACAGCGGTGCCTGTAATTGGAACTCAGTGCCTCAGTTTTCCCATCAGCAGAATGGAGATGATAATTGGCAAATTCTCTTTAGGCTTGAAATAATCACATTTGAGGCCAGGCTCATGCCTGCAATCCCAGTACTTTGGAAGGCCAAGGTGGGTGGATCACGAGATCAGGAGATCGAGACCATCCTGGCCAACATGGTGAAACCCCATCTCTACTACAAATACAAAAATTAGCTGGGCGTGGTGACACGCGCCTGTAGTCCCAGCTACTTGGGAGGCTGAGGCAGGAGAAACGCTTGAACCCAAGAGGCAGAGCTTGCAGTGAGCCAGATTGCGCCACTGCACTCCAGCCTGGCAACAGAGCGAGACTCCGTCTCAAAAAAAACCAAAATCACATTTGAAGTTTTTGTAAAGGGGTAGGAAAGACTCAGTGCAGAAATGCGGAAGGGGGATGCTTGTGTTGTTTCTGGGGCAGAATTTGAGTAAGTTACTCCGGTTTTAAGCCTCGGTTGTCCCTGTTTGTCCAATGAGTGCTGTTAAGAACTGCTTAAAAAAACAAAGCATTAAGCATTAACTGTCATGGCCCAAGCCTGGGATCCCATCTTCCCCTTCCCGTGAGATCCTGCTTTTCCCTCCTATCCCTAAGGGGCTGTCCAGGGGGCCGGGGCGGCGATGGACTGGCTCCACATCTGCCCAGGGAAACTGAAACCTCTCCCACATCTGTTTGTCAAGCAGCCGCATGCCTCTGAAAATAGCCGCCCTTCCCCCACCTTCACGCCCAGCCCTTGTGCTGGGGCAGGCAGCCTGGCACGCCGGGTGTCCCTGTGGCCTGACCTGGCCACTCAGCAGGGATTGGGCCCCTGGGAGGGCAGGGCTGTGCTCAGAAGAGACTTCTGCTGCCCAGCAACATTTTGTGCAAATGTCATATTTTCCAAGCTTGCTGTTTCCCCCACAAAGTAGGTGAACAGCTGTCCAGAGTCCTGAGTCAGGCACTGGGGCGGGGGGTTGGGGAGAGGCTGGAGCTGTGTGGAGCCAGGTTTATGTAATAAAGGGATATTGTGGGGGCCAGCTGGCAGGCTCCTTCTATCTTGGCGTTGGGCTGAATTTATTCCCCTGTCCCCCATCTCTTCACCGGTGATGGGATGCTGGATGTGTGTCCACCCTGCTTTCCAACAAGCCTGGGAGGCCCCCGGCAGAATAGCATCATGGCTAAGCACAAAGACCCGGAGTCAGGTGACCTGGGTTCAAACCTTGGCTGTGCCTTTTTTGAGCTGCAAGTTATTCCCTCTGACTCTTCTGAGCCCCCTCTGTAAAGTGAGGATAATAAAGAGTACCTGCTCCATAGATTGTTGAGAGGATCAAGTGAGATCATACCTGTAAAATACTTGGCATATAGTAAGTGCTCAACAAGTATTAGTTTTTCTTATTGGTGTTAATTAGTTACCTGAAAAATTCGGGCAAGAATAACCCTTTCCTATGCCCTGCGGTGCCCACAGTGGTCAGAGACTCACGGCAGCTCTGGGCTGGTCGCCTTTGGCAGGTGTCAGGGTTTGAGACTTTGCCCTTTAGCTGCAGATGGTCTTTGGGGGACACCTGGAGACTGGCTGGTTGTCAGCTTAGAAGTCCACCCAGTGGATAGGGGAAACCTCACCCGTGCTGCCTGGCCCAGCCAGTTGTGACTGTCTTTGGGTAAGTGCAGGTTGGCCCTAAATTCTATGTGTGGAGAGGGATGTGAGCAGGCCTGAGGAGCCCTCCAGGGGTTGTTGAGTGGGGACTAGAGGAAGGACCAGGTGGCTTCCTGCCCATACCTCTTGTCCAACCAAATGGCTTCTCCCATTCTAAGTCCCAGTTTATTGTGAATAACAGTGAATAGTATTTCATGATAATAAGAGGGTTTCAGTGATTAAAACAGATACCATTAAGAGAATCCTTAATCAGCAGTTTATTTTAGCTTAGAACCTGAGGGCAGACAGATGGGAGAAAGGATGGGAAGGAGGAGTTTGAAATGAAATGAAAGCCCCTTGGGTCTTAAGGAAGAATAAGGGTCTTAAACTCAAGCCAACCTGAACCAGCAACACAGAGCTATAGAATTCTTAGAACATGGCAACACCTGTGCTATCTCAAGGTCTGTTTCTCTTGTCTTACAGGCAGGGAATTGAGGTCCAAGTGTCAGTAAGAGACTCAAGCAGAGTTACTCAATGTGGGGCTTGGGTGAAGATGATGTGGAAGATGACCATATCATCCCCCTAACAACCCTATGGTGTAGGCGCTCTTTACAGCTCTGTTTCACAGTGGAGAGAACTGAGGCTCAGAGTCCAGGTTCACTGCTGGTCTTCTCAGGCTCTACATTTTGCCCTTCTGACTCCAGAGTCTGCTATAGAACCATTATAACATGCTGCCAGCACTCAGGTTCTCAGTTTCCCCCAGGAAACTGTCCTTCTATCCATTTATCCATCCATTCATCTGCCTATCCATTTACCTATCCATTTATCTATCCATCATCCATCCATCCATCCATTCATCCATCCATCCATCCATCCGTCCATCCATCTATCCATCCATTCTTCTACCCTTTCATCCACTCATCCATCCATTCATCCATTTATCTATCCATTCACCCATCCATCTTCTATCTACCAATTCATCTACCTATCCATCCATCCGTTAATCCACCCACCCCAGCCAGCCATTATCCATCCATCTATTCATCCATCCATCCATCCATTCATCCATTTATCCATCCATCCACCCATCCATATGTCTATCTACCTATTCATCTATTATCCATTTATCCATTCATTTATCCATCCATCCATCCATCCATCCATCCATCCATCCACCCATCCACCCATCCATTCATCTACCCTTTCATCCACCCATCCATCCATTCATCCATTTATTAATTCATCCATCATCCATCCATCCATCTACCAATTCATCTACCTATCCATCCATCCATTCATCCACCTACCCATTCCATCCATCCAGTCAGCCACTATCCATCCATCCATCCATCCATCCATCCATACATACATACATACATCCACCCATCCATCCATCCACCAATTCATCTATCTATCTATCCATCCATGCATTCATCCATCCACCATCCAGCCAGCCAGCCATTATCCATCCATCCATCCCTTCATCTATTTATCCATCCATCCATCCATCCATCCATCCATCCA